AACTGTGGCTGACAGGGTCCCACCAGAAGTGAAGGGGCCAGAGCAGAACTCCAAGCCCTTACACAGGGGCAAAGTTGGTAAGGGAATGCCAGCTGATCCTGTGAGCCTTTGGAAAATCATATCTGACTGCTATTGTGCAGTCACAGCTGCCATAGGTACTGAGCCTTTCAATCTCAAGAGATTTCAAAAGTGTTAATCACTCACCTCCCAGTAAGCAATGAAAGTTTGAACCTCTCCATCTTACTGGTGGGAATACTGAGGCCCTTCTGAGGGGGCAGGTCCCGTGTGTGACTAGGGGCCTCACAGAGAAGAGCAGAAACTGGAAGCTTTACCACTGGTCAGATTTTACAAAGTTCTTCCCTCATTACACCCTGTGACAGATGAGGGAACTGAGGCTTGTCCAGTGGTCACAGGATCACATCTGGAGGGGCCAAGGCCACACAGATACTAAAGAACAGAACCAGAATTCAAACCCAAGTCCTCTGACTCCAAAGCCAGTCTTCTTTCTGCTCTCCCACATTTGAGGTCTCCCTTGTGGCTAGGACAGTGTCAGGGGGCTGTTGTTCAGAACAGGCTGAGACATGTGGAGGAATTAAGGGCATGGAGTATGATATTCCGGAGGGCAAAGGAGATGGGACTACAACCAAGAATCACCTACCCAGCAGAACTGAGTATAATCCTTCAGGGGAAAAAATGCTCATTCAATGAAATAGGGGACTTTCAAGCATTCCTGAGGAAAAGACCAGAGCTGGATAGAAAATTTGACCTTCAAATACAAGACTCAAGTGAAACATGGAAGAGGTAAACAGGAAAGAGAAATCATAAGAGACTTATTAAGGCTGAACTGTTTACATTCCTGCAGGGAAAGATGATATTTGTAACTCATGAGTCCTTTGTCAGTATTAGGGTAGTGGGAGGGAAAAAAATTATATGTATGTATGGATAGATAGATAGATGAAGGGCACAGGGTGAGTTGAAGATGCAGGGGTGATATCTGGAAAATAAAATTAAGGGGTGAGAAGGGATTATACTGGGAGAAGGAGAAAGGGAGAAGTAGAATGGGGTAAATTATCTCACATGAAACAGACAAGAAAAGGCTTTTACAGTGGAGGGGAAATAGAGGAAGGTGAGAGGGAATCTTATTGTCATAGGATTTGGCTTAAGGAGGGAATAACATACACAGTGGGGTATGGAAATCTATCTTACCCTATAGGAAAATAAGGGGGGAAGGGGACAAGAGAGCAGGGGGATGATAGAGGGGAGGGCAGATTGGGGGAGGGGATAATCAGAAGCAAACACTTCTGAGGAGGGACAGAGTCAAAAGAAAGAATAGAATAAATGGGGGGGGTGGGATAGGATGAAGGGAAATAGACTCAGTTTTTCACAACATGGCTACTATGGAAGTGTTTTGCATGACTACACATCTATAACCTGTATGGAGATGCTTGCCTTTTCAATGAGGGTGGGTGGGGAGGGAGGAAGGGAGAAAATTTGTGATCTAAAGTTTTAAAAACACATGTTAAAAAATAGGGGAAGGTGAGAGGGAATGAGTGAATCTTATTGTCATAGGATTTGGCTTAAGGAGGGAATAACATACACAATAGGGTATGGAAATCTATCTTACCCTATAGGAAAATAAGGGGGGAAGGGGACAAGAGAGCAGGGGGATGATAGAGGGGAGGGCAGATTGGGGGAGGGGATAATCAGAAGCAAACACTTCTGAGGAGG